TTTTGCCCAAGTTAAGGGCATTACTCCCACTTTTAACAATGCAACAGCCCTTTGTTAGGTGAAACGTCATTTTTTTAATACGAGTGAACATCAGAAATTCAAGTGGTTGTTAAAGGATCTGAACGAGCGGTGTGTACTAGTGCCAGCTAATAAACAATCTCAATTCGCTCCTTTTAAACTATATTGGCAAATTAAACGGATTTATTCATCTCTATTGCCGCATTATATTTAGCAGAAGCCAAAACAGGCAGTATTTTTGTGGCAGGTAAAACCGAACTTGAATGCAAACATCTTCTCAAAGTGGACGTCGCCAGGGGAATTTTCTTCACCACAGCCACCTCTGAGATGAGGTGTGATTTGGCCACGAACTCCTTTGAAGTGCACTCTACAGGAGGTTGTACTTACCAATTAGAAGGTACTGTTTCGAAATGACATCTATCTGCTAGCTGTGATATCACCGTCTTGATTTCGGATTTCAACACCTTTGCAATCATTCCAATCTGGTGTTCGACTGACTGCTGTTCGATCTCTACGAGTGTTCTGGTGAGGCACTATGCCCAACGTCAATCACTAGACATGAAACCCATCGTTTTCCGTCAGTATAACTGTAATGGCACCGTTGTTGTACCTTTATGACGGAGGTGAGATGGATTTCGTTTGATAGAGTTTAAGAAGGTAGGTATTTGACACTCAACAACCTTGCAATCAACACTTCATTATCACTGCCTACATCTGCAAACTGTTTTCCTTTTCCTTCCTTGTTACTTTACTTCCAAATACGTGCTCGAAATATAACTGTTAATAATCACGTAGGTTTTTTTCAGAGTCATTTTTGGTTGCGTTTCTTCAAGTCTTACCTAGCCACTGTTTACCGTCTTAGAATTGCTATAGTAATGCAGTTGATTCAAACTGTTAGTTATTTTTTCTCCCTTCGCATTCACCTGTACAGGCGGCATGCTTTTGCTATAGTAAGGACTCGTTCTAAAGTGTTTCTAACCAGAGTGTCCTCTGGAACTACTAGCTAGCAAAGTGCTGCACAAAAATATACCTCTTCTCAATTTGAAATCTGCAGAGAAAATGGATAAGGAGAGTAGAGCTGACCCGTGGTCACTTAACAATTTCGCCTGCTTACCAATAAGAGGGATCAGTATACACATTAGGAACCTTGCCAGCGAATACATGGTGAATAGCTGTGTATGTGCAGGTCTACAGCTTGCAAAGGCTCTGCTTACCGAGGGGTAGTGTGGTGTTTGGGCTGGTGGAATGTGCCCATGTAAACCGGTTGGGGAGGTTACTACCGAAGAGGCGGCTAAGGGAATTGTTCGATATAGGACTGGAAAATACAGCAGTGTAGTGCAGCATTCAGGTTTGGTCATTATTTTACCAAAAATGCCATTTGGACCCGTGCTGATGAAGCATCGGCTAGATTGGGCATTACATTACGCACGTGAAACAGGGTCTTTTAGCAGTCACTAATACAGTAATCAAACCAATGCCAAGTAGAGATGCTAGTGGCGCTCATAATGAATGCCGAAGAGAAGGAAGGCGCTGTAATTGTGACGGTGCACTCAAGCTTTAGCCTGTTATGTTATGTTATGTTAAAAACGTTAAAAACGATGCGTTTTACCATCTGATTGCAATCGACCTTTCATTTGTGTAGAAAAACGATGCCAAAATCGTCAAAATGGTGCCTGTAATCGTTTGCATCACTCTGTGAAAATGGTAGAAGTATTAGTTAGATCTGCATCCACGTGCAGGCATCGGCTGGTTAGATTTCACTCTACACACAAATTTTACTCAATAACATTCAGTAGTATATAATTTAGCAAGTCCATTTATGATTGATCTAAATCAGATGAGTCTAGACTACTCTATTTTGGCACACACACACACACTGCATTCTCAACGACATTTTGCTACGATTTTTGAGACCCAATCATTAGATAGCGTGTATTGAGCAAATTTGCGTTAATAAGTTTTAACAGCACTCCATTTCAGTCATTTGTTCCCGTTAAAATTATGCCAGTTCAGAGATGGAGTAAATAAAAAACAGTGTTTAATTGTAGTATTTACAAATGTGGCTCATCGCAGATTATCATTCATAGCAATGGAGGAATGAGGAATGGGGAAGACGCAGTCAGTAAAGTCGTCAACGGTGGTACAACGGAGACCCGACATCCAAAACTTATACCTAACATGGGCAGACAGATCATTGTGATTAACATTACAATTGACTACAAAACGACTGCAATGAGTGTACACATTTGAGTTAGATAAGGTAAATGATCATTCTGTCGGACGTGTCTTAAGGACCCTTGACCACATCTAAAATATAAATTCCATAATTTAGCCCTTAAAGCATTGAAAATGCCACAATTTTATAAACAGTTGACATGTCTATGGAATATTTATTACTAAATAATTGAGTTTGACTGTTTTGGTGTTTTTGAACTGTATTAAAGTGCGAGAAGAGCAGAATCAGGTCAAAGCTCTGCTCTCCCTCTACTTTGATCGCATTCAGCCCTTCTTTGGTGCGATGGGAATGGCTTTAACCAGGAATGTCAAGTAACTCATTTCTAATGATGATTGCCGGACAAGATACAACTCCATGGTGCGATATGTTGCAAATAAACACCGAATGGAGCTAACTTTGTGAAGAATATAGAAAGAAAACGAAGGTCAGGAATCTTTTGCGTTTCCTCAAGCTTTCTAGACGAAATTTATATACGCTCTGCCAGGATGAACGCTTAGTTAAACACGCATTACTTACTTTAATCACCAATGTACCAACTCAGACTTGACATCACCGAGACATGTCAATGCTATAGGTTTCTGCCTATGAAACCTTCTTGCTGCTTAAACTTTCGTTTGCTGACTACTTATGAGCAGCTTTGATAATTCTAATGATGCTTGGATGTTATGTAAATTAAATGCAAGTGAATATTTTCCTGTCAGGAGATAGATGTATCTTTTGAAAACGGGGATATTATTGTTTGCACTCCCTTCTTCGGTATACGTAGACACTGTACCAGCCCAAGCACTAACTTGTGCATCTGTAAATCTAATTTTTACAATTTAAGTTATTTTCCGCTGAGCTGACACATAACAATTCCCTTTGTATTAGCCTATGGGATTCCGCATGCTTCTACGGACTAAGAACGGCATCAAAATGTGGAAGAGGCATATTTCTCTCTAACATAGTGCTAACTAGTAATGCCAAAATACACTCAAATATAAAGTGGTTTCTACTGAATTACTTTCACTCCTAAAGCACTCTGGATTTACCTACTGAAAAAGTAAAATTACGCAAAAAAACAGGTCTAAAATATGTCCAAATTTGCCTACATAACCATAATTTGATTGGATATGGCAACTAAGTATCTGGAATGAAGTTTCATAAGCCCGAAATTAAAAATTAATGGGTTCTGGGCATTAAATTCCACTTTACTGTGGTCCATGTGTATCACACGCTGTAGACAGTTATCATCAATTCCCATCCACACAGTCCATTCACACTGTCCAAATGCAATCGAGATTTGACTTTTCGTCTAATGAAATGTTGAATTAGGGGGGTGATATGGGTCGAAGTAGGGAATGAAATACTTTATCTGTGGAGCCAAAGTCAGCTGC